TCATCTCCACCAACTTTCTCTAATTAATATGCAAAATATCTTTCACCTGATCTTTCCACTATAGATGCTATTTTCTCACTCAGGCTGAGACTTTTAACAGAATAAAACCAGTGCTTGTGTTTAGGTCCAACTCTGTCAGCAGTAAACATGAAAATGGCTGCAGAAAAGTGGTGACATTTGGAAGTGATGTCACAATAAAATAACATTGAATTTCATAGCAAAACCCATCCTCATATTCAAGCTTTATGTTATGATGTATATGTTATATCAGAAGGGCAGACAGTCAAAGGATTTATAAATATGACTAGACAACTCTCACATTTCTTCCTGTAATGTGTCAGAACTGCAAAGGATGAGCATGAATCACAGTAGTTTGTTATTCTTCTCCTTCCTAATGTGTCAGATCTGACTGATTCTAGAAGTTGACTTTGGGGCTTTTTTTATGCAAATGTGATGTAGCCCAATGCCTGGCTGTGCTGGCAGGGTTTTGGCACAAAAACATTGGGTGGTTGAAAACTTTTTGACCCGAGAGGAAAAGCTTTAACTTTAGATTGTTGCATTGAGTAACATTCTCTTGTTCACTTTATCTAAAAAAAATGACAGACATTAATTTCACAACAGCTAAAGGACTCTGTTCTCTTGGTGCATTGGGATTATAGCTCAATGAACAGTTTTTCAGTCAGTGGCTTGAAATACTTAGCTTGCTTCTTAGGCTTCCTTTACCAGCTGGTCTGTATAAACTACTGTCAGTAGATTTCAAGCTATTGTGCAGCAAGGATCTTTCATCAGGAAAATATTATGAACTTCACCATTGGGAAAAAATATTAAACCAGTGAACTTAGAAGTTGTTGAGGTGGCTGCATGCTCTTGGCTGTTGAACAGAATTCTACACAGTCTCCAGTGTTGCTTACAGCCTTATAAAAATCAATACCACTGTAAGTCTGAGATGAATATGTATCACAGCCTTTAAGGTCCTTGCACTAAACTTGACCTAGAGGTGCAGTACATTGTTTCATGTATTTTTAAAGTAAAGTCTGGATTGTATAAGTGGTATCCACAGTCTCTTCCCAGGAGCAGTAATGGCTACTGAAATCATGTATGTACACAGGTAAAGCAACAGAAAAAGAATAAAAATGCTTTAGATACACTTCTGTGTTCTCTGTATGCAATGATTAATGCCTCTGGAGTCAGTGCATAAGCAGTTGCTCTGAACACATTGAAAAACTGAACATGTCTTTGGTTCTGATTAATCTGCGTTGTTGTACAAGCATGTGAAACAGCAAATGCAGCAGTCCCATCTCCTCCCTTTAACAAAACCAAGAAAATAACAATCAGTGTTTCTGAATTTTTCCTGCATTCCTTTTTTCTGCTCTCGTCTCCCACATCATGCAAGGAATTCCAGAATGGCATTAATAGCTTTTAGATGTCCCTGAGAGAGTGTGCCAAAACTGACAAGTAAAATGCCCGGCTACTTCTCACCACCATGTTCATGTTCCACTGTACACTGTTCAGATTTTGGACACAGGACAACGCATGGCAGTGGTACTCCTCCTGAGGCTGCTGGGGTGGTAACAGTCTATCAGTGCAAGGGTCCTTTGACAGCTATTTCAGACTTCCACAGTTCTTTTTTCTTACAGCTGTATGCAGTCTTAAATTTAGGGAAAACCTGCTTTGGGGTGAATCCCACTGTGTACAGTGCTCCAGATGAAAGTTCTGACTTTGGTTATTATGACCCAAACTTCTTCAATTCTGTAAACATGAACCAGGCTTCATTTTGTTAGTGGATTTGAGGAATAGTCACCTTGATTATCATTACCTCCTGTTAGGCCCACTGACCACACTCACTTGCTTTAGTTCTAGAGTATCTTCATTTGTCCTAAGGGAACTAATTAGGAAGCTCAGCTTTACTCTCCCCAGGTAGGAGTCAGGCAATGTGACACTGAAGCATGACCAATGAACATCCCTCTCAAAACACCTCACCCTCCTTTGGGTGTTGGTTTGAATAAACAAAAAATGATTGCTTCCCAGAAGCGTCTGACAAAGACTACTGGCACTGTGAGGTAACTGGCTGGCTGAAAGCAGGAAAGGCAGGACTCCTGTCTACTACACCCAATGTTGTCATGTACTGGGAACTCTCGTAATGCTCCTGCAGCCTTTGAAGACAAGTCAAAGGTCCCATTTCTGTAGCCCAAACTCCACAGGTAGGTTATTATGAGAAGTACATTAGCACAGTATGAGAAATCACTCCCACAAAACTGGCTGTACTCCAGGAAATTATTTTCTTTTAAAATTCTTAAATATTCACACTGTGTTATAACATATGTCTAGGTTAAATATCAACCAAATTCTTGCTGTACTATTGGAATCTGACAGATTAAGGACATAGAAAACTTCTATAGGCCTAAGGCACCTGCTGTCTGCCTTTTGACATATTCTTACAGCATTATTTTTATAAAGGAGAGCCAGACATTACAGTATCTGGGCATTCAGCTCAGTACAGCGGAGCATTTTATGTTGGCCAAAAGTTGAAATCTGTCTGACTGTCCAATCAGTCAACTGAAATACTTGAGTAGTCTCTGCACTGGGCTAGTATTTTCCACATCACTGAGTCAAATTCATCTTAGATGCATTTTAGCTGAGAGAGGGCCTGACTAGCAGTGCCTAGCTTTGCACCTGGATTTGGGAAAATTCCAGAATTTCAGAAGCCTATTACAACACTTTTGATCCTTTAGGACATCCTAAGGACTATTCAATATAAATGGGAAAAAATGTATTATAAAGAGATACATTATTATTATTAAAATCAATTATATAAATAATTTGAGCTGCTCTGCCTCATTCCTTAAATGTAACATCACTGTAAATAAATTTTCATTTGTTTTGTTGGGTTTTTTTACATTTTCAATTCGAGCACTCTTCAATAAGCATCATCTTTTAAGGAAAGCAACAAAAAAAAATTAACTGAAAACAACCCTCTAAGCCCATTCCTTCTCAGGCTGCCCAATGTTGTCCCACTTCATGACTTTTGTCTCTGATTTCCCATGTGATTAGCTTAAGCAATCATTAAAGAAATAAATCTTATGAAGATCTACCATTAAAATAAAGCACTCACCTTACAGGCTTGAAAATAGTTGCCTGATTGGACTACATGTCTGAAGCTCGTAAAATCAAGTTGACAATGTGCTCTTTGGAAACGCAGATGTGCTGCATGATGGCACTATAGGGTTTTTTAACAGTATTTTCACTTTCCTGGACAAAGACAGTACTGCGTTCCAGACCTCATATGTCAAGGTATCAACCCCCCACGCCCTCAAAAAAAAACCAGCTTACTTTCAATATTTTTAACATAACATCCACTCTCCAATTTCTTATGTAAAATCATGGTTTGACCTAAGGCAAGTCTAAGGCTGTGCTCTGTAGAGTAACATGAGGAAGTTTTTATTCCTTTGGTCTTAAAACCTGTGGGAGATGCAGATAATATCATGTGACAATAGAAAGCCTATCTATCACGAGACTGAACAGTATGGTCTCTTAGGCATAAGCATTCACATGTTGTTGGACTGAAATATCAAGACTTTTGGCTACAGAAGCAATTGAATGATTGATAAGAGTATTTAACAAGGCATTAAAATTAGTGACTATCTCTATCTGAATTTAAAACAAAAGGAAATAAAGAAAGAAAAAAACAAGCTAGCAAACACTGATATAAATGATCTTACTGAGAGATTCAGAGTAAGATATTCAAAAAGCTCTAAATCTCACCCAAAGAGTGGCCAGCACAGGGCTGAAGAATACAGAGAAATGGAGGACAACTACAGAGATACTAATCAACAAAATTCATGTGACCAAAGCTCATCTAAAGTCTAAACTGAGCAGCACTTTGAAGGACAACAAAAGGCCTTCTTTTTAGAATAAGTTAACTTGAAAAGAAGAACCAGAGATAATATTGGTCCATTACTTGGTTAGGTCAGTCACTTCAAAACCAGGCTGCAGACAATGCAGAGGTGTTTATTGCCTTTTTGCCTGTGTCTTTAACAGTGAGTCCTAAACTCTCTTTTGGAAGGCTGTGATTAGGGAAATTATAAACTTCCAGCTAACTCTGAGCTTGAGACTTGGTGTTCCAAATGGATGCATATAAATTTATGCGGCCCATGGGACCTACCCCAGTGTATCGGAAAACCTGGCCAATGTCATTGCAGAAATGCTCCCCATTATTTTTTAACAGTGTTGGAGTTTGGAGAGGTCCCAGTCAACTGGAATCATAGCAGACGTTTTTCCTATTTTCAAGAAGTGTAGGAAGGAAGATTCTGGTAATTACAGGCTTAAAAGTCTCACTTCAGTGACTGGCAAAATGATGAATAAATTTATTCTAAGAGTTAGTGAAAAATACCTGAGACACAATACAGTCATTAGTCATAAATAGCACTGGTTCATGAGGGGAAAGTCCTGCTTCACTAAATTAATTTCCTTTTATGACAAAGTCACCCATCCAGTTGTCCAAGGAAAGGCAGTAATGTGGGTTCTTAGATTTTAACAAAGCTTTTGATACTGTCTCTCACGGCATCCTTCTGCATGAAATGTCCAGCACACAGCTACTCAAGTTCATTATACACTGGGTGAGCAATTGGCTGACTCAAAGAATTACAGTACATGGGGTCATATCAGGCTGGCAGCCAATCACCAGTGGGGTTCCCCAGGGCTCCATTTTAGGCCAGTGTTCCTTGGGAAATAAATGTATATTGTGGAAGTTTGCCAGTTATACTAAAGTAGGGGGAATTGTTAGCTCCCTCAAGGGTAGAGAGAATTTACAGAAAGATGTGGATAAATTAGAGAGATAGCAATCACCAACTGCATGAAATTTAACAAGTGTCAGATTCTCAACCTGGGGCAAAGTAACCCTGGTTTATATATAATTGGTGGATGAGAGACTGAAGAGAAACACCAAAGAAAGACATCTATCTGACAGTTTAGGCAGATGGCAAGTTGGATACGAGTCAACAATGTGCCCTGGCAGTCAGAAGAGACAGATGTGTCCTGTGGTGCATCAAGCACAGCACCATCAGCCGGTCAAGGAAGGTGATTGCTCTGCTGTACAGGGCACCGGTACAGCCCATCTCAAGACCTGTGTGCAGCTGTGGGTGCCTGCCTGGGTACAAGGCTATGAAATTATTAGAGCGAGTCCAGAGGACGGTGACCAAGGTGCTGAAAGACCTCGAGGGTAAGGCATTTAAGAACAGCTGAGATCACTTTGTTCACCTTGGAAAAGGGAAGGTTGAGGGTTGTCCTTGTCAGAGACTACAGCTTCCTCACAGTGGGCAGTGGAAGAGGTTACTGTGTTACTTTGGTGACCAGTTACTGTGTTACTTTGGTGACCAGCAATAGGGCATGAGGAAATGGAATGAAGATTCATCATGGGAAATTCATACTGGATACAAGGAAAGTGTTCTTTACCAAGAGAGTGGATGGTCACTGGAAAAGGTTTCCCAGGGAACTAGTCACAGCACTAAGCCTTTCAGAGTCCAAGGTGTGTCTGGATGATGCTCTTAAGCATATGGTTAAGGTTTAGGTAGTTCTGCAAGGAGCAGGATTTGATTATTTTTATAAATTAGGACACTTTATTCTAAAATGAAGACAGAGGATCTGTCCCACTAGATGAAAATGGAATTTGCGTAATGTTTACTGGTTTTGTTTACTTAAAGAGGAACCTGTTTCTTTAAAACACTTATTAGTTTAGCAAAACTGGTAACCTTGAAGATTTAACAAGGTGACTGCAACATATATTACATAACATATCTTTTAATCTCTGTAATTCAAAAGTATACCCAGTGGCTTGCTAACTGCTATACTAATGCAAGGCCAGTGGGAGGTAAGAATCAGGCCATCAGATAGTATAGCATAAACTAATGAATGCATAGAGTGCATTATGTAGTTTACTTTCTGAATGTTGTTTGTAAGTCCTTATTAGAAAGGACTTATTTTCATACTTTTAGATTATTTAGAGTAGGATTTGGAGAAAATTTTTATCACTGAAAAACCCTTTATCAAACTAGCATAAATTCTTTGTAATTTTTCTCTTCCATTTTTATTTTTAAAATCTTGATAATTCAGGTTATGTGAAGTATTTAAAGAAAAATTAATACTTCAGAATTTTTCTTAGGTTACTTCAAACAGAAAGTCTGAATACAGTTGAATCATGACCTTTTTATATAGGATACTGCTTGTAGAACAAAGGAGTTCTACAGCTCAATGTTGTAACAACAGTCATGAAAACTTAAAATTTTACTTAACAAGGTGTTCGTAGCTCAGGGAGAAAGAATTTCAGTGTGATCCCTACTAACTTACATAATGGCATAAATCAATATTAACATGAGACTATACAGAAGTTAGTCTGGAAATATCACTATATGAAAATAGAAATTCAGGAAATATTTGGGGGTGGAGGCAGTAGGAAGGAAAATTGTTATTTGTAAGCAGCTGGTTTTGGCTTTCTTTCCTGAGAAGAGTATTAATGGTGTTTTGTCATATGAACTAAACATATGTGACAAACATGAGAACAATAAATGTCTTTTCATATGTGTCTCACACAGTATTTCCAGATGGTTATAGTGATAAAATAAGGGTCCTGGTCTAAAATCAATGTACTTTTAAGATGTCAGATACATCTGCAGATTTTTTACTTGACTGAACTAAATCCTTGCAAAGGTCCCTGATAATAAATCTTATATTTTAAAATATAGATTAAATTATTTCACCAAAAGCATCCAGTTTGCTGTAAAAACATTTTTTTCCTTAAGTTCAGCACAGCACACTCTGTGATTCTAGTTGCTATGGAGGACCTGACACCTAGAGTGGCTGGCCTCGCTTTCTCAACCCCCTTGACATGTGTCAGTGGTAGCTCCACAGGTGTGCCTATCATACTTTAGTGCCTAAATTTTTTTTCAGTGCCATGGGACAAGGAACATCCTGGGACAAGGAGCAACAGGACACATCTAGCACTGCTATCTGCACAGCCAACATGTGCCTTGCTATCAGTTAGAGCAACTGATTCAGCTTTGCTTTGCTTCTTAAAGAGGAGGGGGACAAAAAATAATAGGAGTATTAAGAAGAATGCACTTGCCTGCAATAAAATCTGTTTGACAAGTGGGAATACCATTCACACTGCACTTATGCTCCTGTCCCTTGTGAGAAGGGGTGACTCTCATTTTCCTTTCTTTTTTTACTTTCTTTCCCTTTTTCCTATTCATTTTCCCTCCCTTCCCCTTCCTTCCTTCCTTCCTTCCTTCCTTCCTTCCTTCCTTCCTTCCTTCCTT